CATGCTCCCACAGCCCCTCCCCACAGTGGCCAGTGTAGCCTTGAGAAAGGAAGCTGACTCAGGGAGACCCCTGCTTTAAACCCTCACAGGCTTCTCATGTCCTCAAGACAAAGACAAAGCCCATCCTCAGCCCCAGGGGCTCCACCTTGGCCCGGGTTATGCAAAGTGGAATGAGCACTTGCTGATTCTCTTTCCCTTTGGTCTCTGACTCCTGAGGGCAGGCAAGGGCTTGCTTGGCTTTTCTGCAGAGCAGGTGCCTGCAGTGCTCATAGAACGAATGCACCAGACGGGGGCACTGCTGGGCTGTTTGCTGTGCAGTTGGGCCAGTCTGGGCCTGCAGGCTGCCTGGGCCAGGGCTTGAGGGACCTTGCTGGACCTGCAGGGGCCTCCGGAGGGCAGCAGGACATGACTTCAGTTGGGTAAGTGCTGTCTGCCCTCACCAGCCTGAGATGACTGTGTCCACATTTGCTCAGGTGAACGTGTCTTTCTTGCTCTCTCTGGAGCTGCTCTCCTACCAGAAGCTCCCGGCTGACCAGATGCTGCCTGGAGTGGATATTGAGCAGAGCGAGAATGGAGAGAAAGAGATGGTGTTTACTCAGCCTCTGTTCCTGGAGTTCACCAACCAGACCACTCAGGTAAGTTGCAGGGAGAAGGGTGGCACCTGCTGGGCTCTGTTCCATGGGGTGAGAGGAAAGACACCGCCAGAAAAGGCCCTCAGCAATGAGGAGCCCCAGTCCCTGACTGTGGTTGCAGACTGCCCTGGAAGAGGCCTTGTGCCCAGGGAGAGGAGGGCCATCTTTCCTCACATGACTCAGGAGCTCAGAGCCAGGTCAGGGGCTGGAGGGTGGGAAACCAGAGGAGGTGGTGGGGAAGCCTAATGTGGTGTTTAATCAAGAGGGAAACCACACTGACAGACTGGGGGAGGGGCTGCTGGGTGGGGACAGTGAGCATGAGGCAGCTGTGGAGGACTTGAAGCTCCAGGGTGAGCTTCACAGCCCAGGTCACAGGCCCTGGTGTGGAGCCAAGGTGGCAGAGAGCTCATCTGGGGCTGCAGGTGAGAAGTGGGGTAGGGGGCTGAAGAGAGGCCAGAAGTCAGGGGCCAAGTGGGAAGCCAAGTCCCTGCTCTGCCCCTGGCACTGTACAGCTGCTGGATCCCAAGGTACAGGGACCACAGGGAGCAAGCGGTGTATGGTGGTAGTGCCTAGGGATGATGCAGGGGCTATGGGAGCTGAGGTCCAGAGCCCAATGGCCTAGGAGTGGATGCCTGAGCCTTAGGCCCCATGGAAAGAGGAGGGGGGAAGGAGGAAAGGTCGAGCACAGGGCTCCATGGGAGCAGGGCTGATGGGGAGCAGAGCGCACCTTCGGGCCTGTTGCCATGCAGATCCTGCTAGCACTTGCTGGCTATGGCAGTGCTGGTTGCTGCCACCTACTATGTTGCTGTCCCTGATCTGCTCAGAGGCATCAGTAATCGGGGGAACAGTGTTCCTTGTGCCCCAGTGACCCCAGCTCAGAACCCTACTGCAGTGGGCAAAGTCACTCCATTTCCCACCAAGTCTAAGGCTGTGTCACTAGGTGGTGCCGCTGCGGGCCATTGTGGCTGTGCCTGAGCTGCAGCTCTCCACCAGCTGGGTGGACTTTGGGACCTGCTTTGTGAACCAGCAGCAGGCCCGGGAGGTCTACCTAATGAACCTCAGTGGCTGCCGGAGCTACTGGACTGTGGTGATGGGTAAGTTGTTGCCTTCCTGCCTGCCCTCTGCTCCCTAGTGAGGCTGGGTAAGATCCCCAGGAAGGGTCCTGGGCCTTGGCCCAGTAGGCTAGCTCCTGAGGGGGTGGTGCCAATGGGCTTTCATGGAGATGGCCAGTCTCTGATCCCAAGTGATCCCTGGGTTGCCCTACTTGTGTTGCTGGCAAGATCAGAGGTGACACCTTAGAGGCAGGCTGGCCTGGGACAAATGAAGTCTTGTGGAACAACATGGAACTGCCTGTGCCCATGGATGTCCTCCTGTCCCTCGGTGCAGGACAGCAGAAGGCAGCCAAGGAGGCTGAGGTCTTCAGGGTCTCCCCAAGCAGTGGGCTGCTGGCAGCCCGACCCACCAATGCGCCCCCAACCTCCATCACTATGCAGGTGTTCTTCACTGCCAGGTACAGACGCTACTGACCTCATGGGCACTGCCACAGGGCAAGGGGTCCTGCCTGGGGCCTCCTGACCTCAGTCCCACACTGTCCCCCAGGAGCAGAGAGCTGTATGAGTCCACGCTGGTGGTGGAGGGCGTGCTGGGTGAGAAGGCCTGCACCCTGCGGCTCCGGGGCCAAGGCTCTTATGACGAGAGATACATGACACATCACAGCTCTGAGGCATCCGTACCCCACAGCCCTCCTCAGCTGAGGCCGGGCTGCTTGGCAGGGACATGACCAGGGGCTCCATCAGCTCCTGGGATGGAGGAGCCCCTTTCCATGGCAGGGGTCACAGCTGAGGCCCTGCATCCTATGTCCCCAGAGCTAACACAAAGCATAGGCCACACCACCATGGAGACCATGGAACAGAAGAATCATTTCTCAGATGGCAGAGAAGACCAGCAGGGCCAAAGCTGGCTCTTGGATAAACCACAGCTGTTGAGATGACCTAGTACATTTATTACATCCAATGTACCCCTCATCCAGAAGCCACTGTACCCTAAGACTTACACAATGGGCCTGGGACTGGATGACCCATGCTGACTTTGGACAGGCTATAGGAGGCCTGACAGGAGCAGTCCAATACATCCCTGGCTCCTGGACTGTGTCATCTGTGTTCACATTTTCCAAATTAAAGTCCCTTGATTTGTCCACCTGTACCACCATAGGTGCTGGATGTCCCATGTGGATGATTCTGTAATGTCCCTGTCTGCTACCAGAGCAGGGCTGTCTGGGCAGCGCCTCCAGCAGGGCCTCAGTTCCCAGGGTATTCGAAGACAGCAGCGGCTCCCATTCCAGTTCCGATGCACATGGATACCACTCCATATGCCTGGGGAATAGAACTTGCGTTGGCTGGGCAGAGGCCAAACCACCAAGGCCCACCACCCACACCCCAGGCTGAACTGCATGGACCAGGGTCTCCTGGATAGAGGATGCAAAACCCGCAGTCCAGACCTGTCCAAAATTGGTTCCCTGACTGCCCACCTGGCACACAGTCCAGGCAGCAGATGCCCTCTATCGGCCAGGGTTACATTCAAGGCTGGCCCTTCAGGAAGATAGGGCTCACGCCCCTAAGTCCCTAGTTCGGAGTGTCTGTGTGCTCACCTCCCCAGGTCCCACCCCTCAGACACCCCAGCTCGGGCACCTCCCATGACCTCATGAGGAGCAGCCTCACCTCTTCCCGCGGCGCTTCAGCTCGTTGAGCAGTGTGATGACCTGTCGCGCCCCAGTGCAGCCCAGGGGGTGGCCCAGAGCCACTGCACCCCTAGGGGGTTCACCTTCTCCAGGGGGATTCCTAGCTTCTCCACACAGTAGACTGCCTGCAAGAAGCCAGAGCCGCTGGAGCCTCTACTACACCCTGTCCAGCTGGCCCACCCACTCCCATAGGACTCCCAGGACCCAGGCAATGCTGAGACACAGACTCACCTGGCTTGCAAAGGCCTCGTTGATCTCAAAGATGTCCACATCATTCACTGTCAACCCTGCAGGCAAGGTATAGACCTGAGCTGACAGTGGCCCCTGGGCAGGACTCAGCATCTCCCCTGGGTCCCAAGTGCCTAGTGTGTCTGTCTCTTCTATGTGTGAGTGGGTGCAAAAGGCCTTGGTATGGGTGCTAGCCTGCCCACCTTCATTCCTCAGCACCCACAGGACCAATCCCAGGGCCTCCCAGCTATAGGGTGGGAGGGAAATCCAGTCTAGGGTGTGAAGGAGCCACCTTACCTGCTTTTTGCAAAGCTACAGGGATGGCATAGGCAGGTCCGATGCCCATCACATCAGGTGGGACCCCAACCACGGCATAGGACCTCAGGACGCCAAGGATAGGGAGGCCCAACTCTTCGGCCTTGGACCTCCTGGCCAGCAAGATAGCTGCTGCCCCATCACTCACCTGGCTAGAATTCCCTAGGGGATAAATGATTGGGGCGAGGAGGCATCAGGGTGGGGCTAAGGACCAGTCCTTCCACAGCCACCTTGTGGAAGTCCTTCCACTTCACCTTGTGAAGTGCCCTGGTCAGTTCCATGCTCCCAGAATAGAACAGCCAGCCTGGCTCAGTCACTCCCCTGCCCAGGCTCACCAGCTGTGGTAGAGCCGCCATCCTTGAAGGCAGGCTTCAGCTTGGCCAGGCCCTCCATGGTGGTGCTAGGGCGGATACCCTCATCCTGGGACACGGTGATGCTCCTCTTGGTGCCCTTGTCATCGAGGATGGTGGTGGTCACAGGCACAATCTCAGCATGGAAACAGCCCCTGCTCTGGGCTCTTGCTGCCCTGTCAGCATCATGCACAGCCAGGCTCAGGCTCCCTTGGGATAGGCAGATTCCCCTCTCCCACACCTTTGCCAGTACAGGAAAACATGCAGCCTTAAGCTTTGAAATTGGGGACAAGCCTGTTCTTGGGGGAACCCTAGTTGACTGCTGGAGGTTGCTCAGGACCCCCAGCTGTCCCTAGGATGGGAAGACATGCCCAAGGCCTTCTGGGACACCTTTGCCATTGATCCCACATGCCAGCCTCAAAGAAAAGAGCAAGTCTGGGAGTTATGCCCCCTCTTTGCAGTCCATCATCCAACAGGGACTAAGGTGGCTCAGTTGTCTCTGCTACACTAAGGGTGAAGCCCTAGGAATATTTATGTTGGGTTCTACAAACTTTCCTTTTCATCATTCCACTTAAATTTCACCTGTTCTGCATTTCCATTTATCTAGAGTGACATGCCTCAACAACTTGATGTCTTTTCAAAGTCAGTGTTAAGGTATAAGGCTTTTCAGGAGATCCTTATAATCATGTGCAAAATACAGGTACCCAAGGACATTCTTATGATAAGGAACCTAAATTTTCCAACAAAAGTGCACATGCTAACCTGTCCTCAAGAATCCATGCAGGCTAGCAATCCCTGCCTGAGAGATACCACCTGAGATTATGTCCTGGCCAGGACACCATCCCTTCCTTTGCCGTCCTCTCTGTGTGGCTGGGATGGCCAACTGAGACAGCTGCTGTCAAGGCCTAAGGCTCTGTGTTTCTCAGATGTCAACCCCAGCCCCTGCCTCAGGATGCTTCCCAGCCCCAGGCCTGCCACAGATGCTAGGGTGACAGGTCTTTAGCATGACTGTCCCTATACTTTGGGCCTTTAGAGAAGCCAATGGCTGCCATGTCCAGATATCATGCAATAGCCAACAGGGGAAGAGGCCTCGCCCTCGTTATACCCCAATGACAGAGAGGGACCTGAGGCCCAGCGAGGGAGAAGACAAACCTCAATGTGGACAATTAAGAGGACCTGGTGGGCAGAGTGGCTCAAGTGGTAGAGCACCTGCCTAGCACGTGTGAGGTCCTGAGTTCAAAGCCCAGCACCACAAAAACAAGAGGACCTAGAAGAACCACAAACCCACATGGCGGTGGCCCTTACCACTTCCATCTGGAAGCATGACATTGTAAATCCCTCACTGCCTAGCTCTATCCTCAGACCATTACAACCTCATCTCCAGCCCTTTCCAGGCCCTACCCAAACTGCACTTACTTTTGCTGGGAGGCCAATGCAAAAGTGTCCTGCTTCTCTCGTGAAATGCCAAACCGCTCAGCCACGTTCTCTGAGGTTATCCTAGAACACAAACAGCAAATGGGGTGGGTCTGGCAGCCTCCCAGCTCTGTAGGCAGAGCTCTGGCAGCTCTGTAGGCTGCCCAGCCCTGTAGGATCTGGGCCAGGCTGTAGCGCTATGCTTGGACCCATGGGCCCCCAGGGCCAGTCCATTACCAGAGGAACTGTAGAGGTGGCATACATGTCCCTAAGATGGTTGTGGGGCACAGATAGGGAGTCACCATGCTAGACCAGGTACTTAGAAGCTTATATATACCACCCTCTCCAAGTGGGAGGTCACCTGCAAACAGATGTCTCTGGGTAAGCAGCCTCAGCAAGAGACTAGGGAACAGTATATGGCTCAAGCAGCAGTGCTTGCCTAGCAAGTGCAAGGCCCTGAGTTCAATTCCCAGTAATAAAGGAAAGGGATAGGAGGGCTAAGTGGGGCACCAACTGGCCATGCTTGGCCATGGTTCCCTATGCCCATGTCACCTCTAGAAATATCAAACCTAGCTACTGCTCAGTGGAGCTGAGGCCTGTCCTTATCCTGGGATTCAGAATCGCATGAGGCCTGCAGCTTGGAAACTGGATACAGGAGATACAGAATATAGACAAAGCCAGGCACTATCCTCCATAATCCTCTACCTCCTCATACATCCATGGAGCCGGGACTCTCTGCCCACAGGCACTGGGGGTGGCCAGAGCTCACTGACACCAACTGCAGACTAGGTGCTGGATAAATGTAAGCTACTTCCCATGTTGCATGTGACAGGGCCCAAGGTCCCTCACCTGCATGGTCTGTAGGCCTCCCACGCTTTGGAGACAGCTGCCATCATCCTCCCTGTGTCTGGGCACCTCAGAGGGGGTGTGAGAGGACAGGCTATGTTTAGAAACCCAGAGACTGATAGAGGACTTGGAAGCCTCAGGAAAGAGAAGTCAAAGACAACATCAAGACCCATGCCTAGGATCCCTACAGAGCTGATGACACCCAAAGGCGGTGAACCAGGTTGACACTGTCAGCCACAGAGATGAAAAGATTTCTCAGCCCATGTTCCAGAACAGGGAAAGAGCTGAGTGGGCACAGGCACACAGAGCTACATGTGGGCACTCACCCCATGGGCATCAGGCAGTGTCTGGCCTTCTTATTCTCTAGCAGGCGAGAAGTAATATTTCCAGGATTCCCTCTCTCAGACAGTGACATAGACTCTACCCTGAGGAGGAAAAGAGGGAACTGAGCCATACTACGAACCCCCAGGCATGGCTGGATATGTGTTAAGTGCTGGGGAACAGCCAGGGAGCCCCCAGGAAGTGCATTGGGCCCACTGGAAGGCATGGGCAGGGTATGTAGCCAGCGAGGCAGAGCTGTGGCTCCAGGGCTTCCTGCAGCCTAGGACAGAACCCTGTACCATGAGCACTCCTTGTGGCAGGGTCTCGATGTACCATGCAACTGCTAAGCCAGCCCAATCTTCCAGTACCCACCACAGAGTAGAAACCACACCCGAAAGCCCAGCCTATCCCCAAGGACACACAAAATCAGAAGAACAGACAAAAATCTTTAAAGCAGGCACAAAATTCATATCACAGAGGACTGTGACCTGCACAAAGCCTGTGGGACAAGCTGAGAGGAAGTGGCAATGACCAGTGTAAAGGGGTCAAAAGGACTTTGAGGGAGCAGAGCAGAAGCTCTCAAGAATGAGAACATGCAACTTGACTGAGTGCTTTCGTTCCCCAGCACTAGTGGGAACTGTTTTCAGGCATGAGTCTTTAGCATTGTTAGTCACATGACTCAGACCCATGTATCAGCTGTGTTACCACTCAGTCCTACATCAACATGGACAGAGCTGAGGCAGGAATCCCCATTTACCCATGAGGACCCAGAGGTCTGGAGAAATAGGGGAATGTGGATTGTCACCAGCCTGAACCCCAGATAGGCAGTCTGGCCCCAGAGCTCACTCCCAATGGGGACTCTCAGGCAAATGCTACTCATAGGGACCTCTAGGCTGTGATTTCAGTATTGTCCTGGCCCTGATCTTTAGTACACTAGTACCATGCACCTTAACCTGGTTCAAATTTAAAGTCACCTTAGGAGCTGTTACCCAAACCTGCTTTATCCCAGTAAGTCAGGAACATGAAGGACAACAAAGAGCAGAGAAGGCAGTGGCCCTTGCCTTGCCAGTCAGTTTAAGGATTTTGGCTGTCTTCCTACTGAGATGTAGGTCAGGACAACCCAGTGCAGGTCACCCCAGAACTGGGTAAGACCAGAAATGCTTCCTGTGGAGAAACACTCCTCCGAGGATCTGAAAGGCAGTAGGAGCCCGTCAGAACCTAGGCTGCTGGCCCGTGAGTCTGCCCAAGCCTCCGTTAGCCTGCACTTCCAGCTGCTAGATACTCCAGCCTGGGCCCTACTGCCCTTTCCCTCCCTAGAGGCTCTGCCATACACCTTCTACAGTGCATTCCCTCCAAAGATAGAGCTTTAGGGAGTGTAGGTGGAGTGACAGTAACCAAATGACAGCAGAGGTCTGTTTTTGTTCCCCAGAACTCTGTAGTCAGATGGAAGTTTCCACCTTGGTCCCGGGTGGGGACAGAGGCCAACAGTCCAGTAAAATGAACTTTTTTATTTTAGATAGTCAGGAGCTGTCCTACTTTCCCTACTTGCCTTTAGGGAACCAAAACTCCCACTTCTCTCTCAGCTGCATGGAGAATCCACAAGAACCACAGAAGGAAGTCTAAGTGCTACATTTACCCAACATGCTTGTCCACATTTCCAGCCTGACAGATTTCCAGTAAAGAAAGCCTGGAGGCCAACTGCCCTCTCCCACTACTGCTGAGATGTGAGCCATTGCTGAGGGGCCACCGTTGGGGGCCACTCCTAGGCTGCATTTGTGGGAGCACACTCCCAGCCAGCTGCCTCCAGGGGCTCAAGAGAATCCTGAAATTGTGGACCCTGAGATCTGAGAAGAGTAAAATTAGTTTGATTATCACAGGTGGTTAATAAGCTCCGACAGGAAGAAATTCTTACCCACAGGCCATGCCAATGTCATAAGACCCATTTCTGATGCCACCTGCAACAAAAGCACTTCATAACTATCCATGGCCAGAGTAAGTCTGTTCTGGGAGCAGCAGAGCCCCTTCCCCACCTGCTTACTACATGCAACTCAGTCCAACCTCAGAGAAGGAAGACCCAGGAGTGCCCTAAAAGGCTTGGGGGTGGAAAATGGGTCTTCCTCTCCTCCTTCTGTGCCCAGAGTTCTCTCAGAAATGCTTACGGCTGACCCAGCAGACACTGACTTACTGGCCTAATCCCACGGGGCCAGTCTAATGCTAGGGCATGGCCATGGACACTACCAAGTCACAACTTACCGGCTATGTTGGCCACTGCCTGCAGTCCCGAGGAACACTGTCTATTGACAGTGGACAAAGGCACAGTCTCTGGGATGCCACTGAAACAACAGGAGAAACAGCCCAGTCAGCCCCTGTCCTGCCAGGCTCTTGGAATGTAGGCCTGTGATCCAGGATCACATGACTTCTCCCATCAGAGGAAGCACAGAGTAGGGGAACAACTTGAAAGCCCTGTCCCTACCTGTGCAGATCCATGGGATGGGGTTGGGAAGCTACAAGGCAGACTCTACTTCTGCAGGTACATGCTGTCCAGGGCCCCAAACATGCCTTTCCATCCCACAATTCTCCTCAACTCAAGGCAAGGGAAACCTGTTCTGACCACAGGAGTCATTTCCTTCTTCTAATGACTCAATAATCAATGAAAATTACAAACTTCTGTGGTCCCCAAGGAATAGAGAAGTGGGTCTGTTGCTGGGATAGACCACTAGAGCAAAAGGCATGTCTCAAATATGAGGCCATCATCCACCCCCACCACTCAGCCTTACTGGAACCCACAAGTCTGGGTATAATGTTTTCATTCTCTCCCCAGAGCCTGTTTCCATTTGGAAAAAGCTTTGCTGGGTGCCTTTGTTCTTATACTTTTTTCTCTGGGGGCTCCCTAGGCTCTCATGCTGAGCTCAGGCCTCCCTATATAACTTTCCTTGCCCAACAGTACAAAAGATCAGGGAGATTTCCAGGCCCTCTTCAGTCCACTCAGAACTTCAGGGAGTGAACACACTGGGGTGATTCTGCTGTGCAGCTAGGCTTGGGAACATATGAGCTAGAGACTGGGCTAGGCTTTTACTAGATGGTTTCCTAGGCCTGTTGAACCCTCCAAGTACTCCAGGTACTCTAATATCCTAACACTTGGTTACCACCCCTTTATCAAATCCACCATGTTCTTACCAAGTTCCTACTGAGCACAAGGCACTACCTTAGGGATGCTGAGATGCTTATAATGGTGGTCCCTAGAGGCTGTCTGGCCACTACATACAAGAGAGGTTATAACAGTAGTGTCAGACAGCAAAGCCACACACAGGGAAGCACATGGCAGCCTTCTGGAGAGGAGGATCAATTTTAGCCTGAGAGCTTGGGGGAGCTTTGCCCCAATGGTGAGACTTGTATTGGGCAGGGTTTAGCCAGGGCAGGGAGAGCAGACAGAGTTAGCCCTCTACAGGGACAGAATGGGGAATGTAGGAAGGACAATAGGCAGACAGGCTGGCCAAAGGAGTAGTAAAATTCAAGGTGAGGAACAGCTGGCAGATGAGGCTAGAAGGTTAGCTGAGGATAGTGTGAGACCATGACATCTAGTCTAAGCCTGTTCCTCTCCCAGTTTCTAGGGGTTTACTTCCCTTCCTGTTCTAACTCAGGCTTATTTCTACTCCATGCAGCTGAAAGAACAAGAAGTGTGTCTAAATCTGCATGTAGAAATAATTTAACCACTCCTTTCCCATCTTCGGAGAGCAAGTGCTGAAGGGCAAGATTACCAGGACTGCTCCTGGGTTCCCCTTGCCCTGCATTCTGTCCCATTCCCAAGCCTCTGCTGATGGGATGGGCCTGGAGTTCTCAGTTTGCTCAACTAGCAAGGGAAGCAAAGTCACTGTTCAGCATGTTTTTGTGGTTATTTATTTGACAGGTGAGGATAGAGTCCATCCTTTCTAAGGATAAGCAACAAGTTGGCTTTGTATATTATCAGGCCACAGAGAACCTTTGTTCCCATCCCAACTCCCTGTGTGTCTTGGCTCCAACCTGAATAATACTCTCTACCCCCTCAATGTAGGGGAAAGGTTGAGTCAATAGAGCACTATCCCAAGAATTCTGGTTGCCTTGATATCTGATGTCTAAGTTGTCCCTCCATCACACTGATGATGAGTTTCCTGGGACCCGTTCAAAAGTCATAGTGACCAACCCAGGGCTAGAAGTAGGAAAGATTACCTCAGAAACTGGGCGATCCTAGCCATGATGGCCCCTGCTCCAGGCTGAAGCACATTGCCTGTGGACAAGAAAAGCCTTCATTCAATGCCCAGGTGCTCTGGGCACAAAGGTACAGCAGTGAATACCAGGGAAGAGACATTCCAGACCTCCCCTTAGGAACAGGGAGGCAGGCTCATAAGCATGGGGAGCCAGCCACACAAAAAAGTTTGCCCTTATCACACCAGCCCCAGTGCTGGAGGGTCCCAATTCCACTTGGCATGTACCCTGTGCCTCCAAAAACAGCATAGACTTGGCAGGTGTTCTGCCCTTCAAGGTAATGTGGGAATCTCTAGGCAAAGAAGTGCAAAGCTAATGGACCTGAGCCTGTGGGTGAGGGAAATGAGATTCTGAAACTGTACACCTCTCCAGAGTGTCTTCCTCCAAGCCCTGCTGTCACTGCAGAGAGGAGGCACCCCTGGGATGCAACTGGGTCCCATATTATGTTGTTATAGTCAAAGGAAATAAGTGCAGGGGTGCAAAAAGGAATGAATTGAAGGTCCAGGTCCTGTGTTCTTGTCCTAGCTCTGGGGACAAGTTTCTGACCCAAATTCACTGGGTCAGTTTCTCCATCTGTAAATGAGGTGTGGACTGGGTTTTTTTGTTTGTTTGTTTGTTTTTAAAAACACTGTCTTCTGTCTTGGCATAGATGGGATGTCAGTATGAGGAATCTTGATCTCTTGCCTTCTAAGAGACATTCCTGGTCTCCATGGCACTTGATATGCAGACTGTGCCCAGAGGGGTGCCCAAGTGTTTGGGACTGGGGTAGACTGGCTATCAGGGGTGCATCACAGTGAGCTCAGCGGGTCCATCGCCCTTCCCCTCAGTGAAACTCGGGTTCGGAGGTATGGGAAGGCTGAAGACACAGGAAGGCGGGGAGGGCGCAGCACAAGGGTCTGGAGGCTGATATGCTCACCCACGGAGATGTCCCCCAGCTGCTCCGGCCTCAGCTTCACATCCTGGAGAACCGCGGTCAACACCGCCGACAGAAGCTCGTCGGGGGTCGTGTCCTGCAGAGCGGTGAGCGTCACGCATCCCTACCCCAGGGAGACAAGGCGACCACAGCCCGGGTGCCGACCGCCTCCCGCTCCGGGAAACCGAACAGATGACCGGATCCCTCTCTCCAGGGACCACCTTCCTCCCCCTCCCCCGGGCTCCCGGCCCAAGGATTCTCACCTTGAAGCCACCGCGGCCGGCCTTGCCGATGGCGGTGCGCCGCCCGTGCACCACCACCACGTCCGCGGCCGAGGCCTGCGGGAAGCCACTGGAGCAGGGCGCGACCTGCAGTGCCGGGTCCGACTCGGGTTGGCGGGTCAAGTGGCCCAGGACTACCTGCAGCCTCCACATCGCGGTGCCTGGCCCCATGGATTACACTGGGTTCGGGCACAGGCCCTCGGGAAATTAAAATCTTGGCCAAGCGCAGGCGCAAAGCTACCCAGAGACATAAACAGTGCCCACAGCCAAACCGGAAAGACACCAAGGGACCCCTAAAGATCCTACCCACTCCTCGACACAACCAACCAAAAGCAGAGTTTGCCAGAGGACGTCCCAGTCGCGCGCTAAAGTCCGGCCCAAGACACCGCCTAGAAGCGCTTTCCACCCAAAGCCCGGTCCAATAAGGATATGGATCTTTCTGAAGCCCCGCCCAGAAATGCAGACTAGTAGCCTTTGCTGCTTTCGCAACCTTTTGTAGCCAAACCAGAGGCGGAACCCCATAGTTTAGATTTCTTGAAATGAATTCAGCCTTCAGAAGGGAGCCTATCCTGCAAGGCCCTACCGTACACGGCTCCTCACTTTGCGGCGAGAACTGGGTTGGAGCGCTAAGTCCTGTTTCTCTTCTGTCCTGGGTCCCAGGACCCAAACCGAATGACCCTAATTACTTCCAAGACGCCGAGTACTGCTCTGACCGGGTTGGGCTGACACAGGAAATCTTTCCAAAACAAAGCAACTTGGGGGTCCCGGCCCGCGCGACAAACGGATTTTACAAAGGTCCTGAAGTGTAACAAACGCTCTGTAGAGAACACTCCACACTTCACCAATTTTACACCAGTTTAAGATGATCTCATTAGTGTTCACTTGCTTGTTAGGAAGGTTCTCTGCCAAGGCAGAGGGAACCCTGTATCCGAGAGCCTGCAACGTGGCTGACTTTTAGTAGGTGATTACTAAATACTATTGAATGAATCAGGGCTCCCCAGGTCTGGACTGTGTTTCCAGCCCTAAAACGCAAGACCAGGTGCTCCCTACTTCCAATTGGCAGGACCATATGTTTTTCTCCGCCCCAGGAAAATAGTCCTACTTTTACCCGGACACCAAAGGACAGGGCACCCTCTGGATCCTAACCCTGGGGGCTGGATCGGACCTCCCCCTTTCCAAGGCAGGGCCACCGGGTGCCTCGGACTCCTAAAGGCAAGTCGGCTTCGCAGTCCTGACAGCGCACATTCCCCTACTGGAGGATTGTGTGCTCCACGGTCCCTCAGAGGGCAGATGGGGTGCCTCCGCTTTATCCCCGTCTCGCCATCTTTAGGACAGAAACTAAGAACCTCTTAGCTCCTTAGCGGAAGGAATGTGACTCCAAAAGATCCCAAAAAGCAAGGCTGGTTTCCTACATAGCCCAAGGAAAGTCCTTCCCTCTAGGCCCGATACACCCACCACCACCACATCCTCGAGGGCAGACCGGTCGACAAACCCAGATCTCAAAAGGCATTTCTGGGTTCCCACATCCGCCTCTCCCTCGACTCCCAGGGCAGTGGGAGGGCGTCCAACTCGGCATATGTGCGCTGGGCCCAAGATTCTGGGCGAGGGCGGCGCTTCTCGGAAAAGGAAAGCAGGCGGGGCTAGAGGGAACCCTAGGGGAAGTAGGAAGCTCGGCAGGCGACGCGACCCGACAGCACCTGGGCTCCAGGGTGGCCCGCCATGGCTGCAGGAGCCCTCGATGCGGGGTCAGCACTCCCAGCCCTCTCCAAGTCCTCCCTGCCCCTGGCCGCGCTCAATGTGCGAGTGAGGCGCCGCCTGTCGCTATTCTTGAATGTGCGCACACAGGTGGCGGCCGACTGGACCGCGCTGGCGGAGGAGATGAACTTCGAGTACTTGGAGATAAAGCAGCTGGAGACGCGCCCCGACCCAACTGGCTGCCTGCTGGACGCTGGCAGATGTGCCCCGGCGCGTCGGTCGGCCGGCTGCTGGAGCTGCTTGCCAAGCTGGGCCGTGACGACGTCCTGTTGGAGCTGGGGCCCAGCATCGGTGAGTACGCTGGCTTCCTGGTCTTGTACCCGGGTGGGGAAAGCTACCGTGGCATTCCTCAGCCGCCAGTCTTGCTTGGGGTGGAGGCAGGACTGCAGAAGCCAGCAGAGATTGAGAGGGTAGGGTTTCTGGTCAATATCCGAAGCATGACAGAGACAGGGGAAAGGCAAGGAAAGCCCTGTCATAGGGAGAAGTTAGAAGATGAGCTTAGGCAAAGGCTTTCAGGTTGGACTAGAATCTGCTTCTGTAGGTATCTGAACCGTGTCAAGCAACAGGACAGGTGAGGAACTGGAAGCTGATGGTCTAGGAAACCCTAGGTGCCTGGGAAACGCAGTCTCTTCAGGACTCACTGGCTTTCACTAATGGGCTTGCACAGTGGATACACCCGCCCACAGACAGGTGCACCTTGCAGTGTGGAAGTCACCATCCTCACCGTACCATAACCCTGGGGTTTGAGTACTTCTAGTACTTCTAGAGTACCCCTGCTCCCTGTTGTCTTGGATTCTAGAAGAAACAGACCTTTGTTCCATTCTCAGATGCCATAGAAAACAGATCTAGGACAAAGGGCTTCCCAGATGGCCAGAATACCACTGATATCCCTTTGGAAAGGTCAGAGAGAGAGTTCAGCTTCTCTGAGCTGTGGAGCTGTCCATGGAACCAGTGGCTGGAGAAGGCCCAGAGCCCAAGAGGGCTTGTGGAGGCAGGACAGGGACTGGGTCCTGCCTGTGGGTAGAGGAGTGAAGTCCTCTGGATAGCCAGCCATACCCTGTCTCTGCCCCACAGAGGAGGATTGCCAAAAGTACATTTTGAAACAGCAGCAGCAGGAATCTGAGAAGCCCCTACAGGTGGCCAGAGTGGAAAGCACTGTCCCACAGACAATGGAACTGGCGGGCATCACCACACATGATGATCCCTTGGGTAAGGACCCATTACTGTTCACATGGAGCAGGGAGGAAAAGGTGGGCCACAGTCACAGAACAGTGTGGTATGCTGGAAGCATGGATATTGGAAGCAGATGGGCTTTCTGAGCCTCAGTTTCCCCACCTAAGAAATGGGGATAACAATAGCCCTACCTGTGGGTTGCTCTAAGATGCTTACATAATGATTTTTCTGTGTCATCATTATCTCAGAGCTTCTCCCCAGGTGGGTCACCTTTTGTCTTCTGAGAAGGGCTTTGTCTGTGTCATAGCCTCTTGGGATAGGTGCAGGACCCAGGACCAGTTTCCCTTGGAAGGGGACTCCAGGCTAGCCACCTCCTGGCCCCCCTGTGGCGCTCTGATAATCACCTTTGTGCTCTGCACCCAGGACAAGTGCCAGAACGTTTTGATGCCTTCATCTGCTACTGCCCCAGCGACATTCAGTTTGTGCAGGAGATGATCCAGCAACTGGAACGGACAGACTATCGGCTGAAGTTGTGTGTGTCTGATCGTGATGTCCTACCTGGCACCTGTGTCTGGTCCATTGCCAGTGAACTCATCGAGAAGAGGTTATCTAAGGACCCAGAGGGTGGGTGGATGGGTGCGTGAAGCCAGATGCTGGGCCCCTTCTGAGGCCGTCCCCTGGAGGTATGCTGAAACAAGTCACCAACGTGCCTGCAACTTGCCTCCTCTCCTTAGGTGCCGTAGGATGGTGGTGGTTGTCTCAGACGATTACCTGCAGAGCAAGGAATGTGACTTTCAGACCAAGTTTGCACTTAGCCTTTCTCCAGGTAAGTTCAGGACTCCCCCTGGCCAGAGAGGATGGATAGGTGAGGACTTAAGATGCCAGCCTTCCCTCAGCAAGGGCCATGGATATACAGCCAAGGAAGTCTTGCTGGTGTTTGCACACACAATCATGTGTGCACCCATGTACTTTGTGTGGAAAATATGTGCCATGGTACCTAGCTGGTGGTAGGCTGGTGTTCTATGGGCTGAGGTCTGGGCCTGCCCACTATGGGGCAAGGGCTTGGTACCAGTGCTACACCCCTTGGCCTGCAGGTGCCCATCAGAAGCGACTGATCCCCATCAAGTACAAGGCAATGAAGAAGGAGTTCCCCAGCATCCTGCGGTTCATCACCGTCTGTGACTACACCAACCCCTGTACCAAGGGCTGGTTCTGGACCCGTCTGGCCAAGGCCTTGTCCCTGCCCTAAAGATAGTTCTTGGACATGGGTGTCTACATATGTTCATACTCTTCTGCCCCTGCCTCTTTTTGCAGTTCTAGGGAGCTCTACTTGCTGTAGAGCTCTACTTGCCTCTCCATTCCTAGTGGTGCCAGCTCCATAGACACATCTGCAGAAGCCAGGCTTCATCTGGACACCACAACTCATGTCTTTCATGGAATCAGTGACTAAGAATGGCACATTCACTTTCTGAGTTATCAAACAGGACATTGATGACCAGGGTCAGCTGGGACTAAATTGAGGAACAGCTGAGCCCACCTCTGAGGTGTTTTGACATCTTTGGCCTCAGTTTTCACCTAAGAAGCAGGTGTGGGAATCAGACAGCAGCTGTGTTTGAATCACTGCAGGAAATCTTTAAACATTGTTCTGGCTCTCCTAGGGAACACAGCCTTGGCTCAGGGAAAGCAGGGCTACATGCTGGCTTCTCCTGGGACCAGCTGTCTTGCTGAGGCAGCTGCTTCCAGAGTGGTGCCTGGATGCTACCTCACGTTCTCCTTCCTTCTCTCCCCAGGGCAGATGGGTAATCAGGCTGATGCAGGCAGAGAATCCCATCTTGAGCCTGATCCTTTAAAGGCCCCCACCCCCTATCTCATCTGCATCTCTGACTCCTTTCAGCTTCTGCCCCATGTCCAGTGGCAATAAGGCTTCAACTGAAGCAGTTGGGGCTGCTTTTCACTTCTACTACCCAGATGCCTGTGGGCCCAACTCAGTTATACTTGGCTCAGGATGGGATCCAGGCCCCTGGCATGTCCATCCCATATGAGCGCTGGAGCTGAGACACCAGGGTGATGCCATAAGGGAAATTTCCTGCCTATGCCACCAGAGAGATTTCCCACCAACTTTGTGAACCTTGATTGCCTAGTTTGTGGACAAGCAGCAATAGCACAAGAGCATCCTTTCCCCAAAACTTGTGGGCACATGGCCACATTTAGCCTTGATGCAGAGACACATCTAAGCATGCATACCCTCACACACATACACACACATACTCAGCCTCCTACGTACATGCATTTCCCTGGTGCAGCTCCCAGGGATGGCTGGGTGAGAAAGTCCCACCATCAAGGGGGCCTGTCTCCCTGGACAAAAATGAGGCTCTCGTTTCCTTTTTTCTTTGCCCTAATCATTGAAACCATCATCACAAAGGCCCCAACATACCAGCATTTATACTTTCAGTGACATACAGACAGAAGAAGAGAGCTACATGGCACCAACAAGTGAGCTACAGGTACAATGTTTTCTCCCAAGGCAGTCTGCACATTCCCTCTCAAGCTCTCCATCAGGGAGACAATGTCATGGTCCCAGGTCTCTGTGCTCCAGGACAGACCCCAGGCCTCTAGCTCCAGTAGAAAATGAGTCTCCTCTCCACCTCTGGCCCTACAGTACTGAGGTGACTTTCTCTGGGGTCTTGAGAAAGAATGGAGGTCGGTCTCTTCGTGAGCTTAATGAAGCACTTAGATGCCATGTATCTGGCCCCTTTAATGTTGGGCATTTTTAAGCAATTTGGAGTAAGCGTCTTCTACACCTGTTTTATGCTTTATGAGAACTTCAGTGAGATCTGAGAAATGCCCATGTTTGTCATTTGTCCTTTTGTTTCTTAGGTTTATAATAAAGACTATTCTATTTTGGGAATGTGTGTGTGTGGTGTTTTAAGGAGTTTGGAAGCAGTAATCTAGAGTATACCTTGCCGGGTAAAAGAAGCTGGCACATTGGGTGGGTTCCATATAGCTGGGCCCCTCTTTCTAGGCTCAGGCCTCAGCAGGGCAGCAGGCAGAACCAAGAATACTGTTATCAGTTCCAGAAGCTCAGGAGCCCACTTCCTCCCTCCAGGCTGGTACTCCTTGGGTTGTGCTATGGGTCCTGGCTCCACCGGATCACACGGGCTGCTCTTCCAGGCCCTAAAGAGTCTGGAGAATCCCATTCCATCACCCATCTCCTGAGGACTCAGCTGTGTCCGTGACATCTTCCATGGGACCATTTCTGTTGGTCCAATGCTACTGATCTATTTTTAATGAAAATTGTTTATTTTTTCAGTGTTTACTCTAGAAAATATATAGAAAAAAACCTACCTATAATTCTAATCCCAGAGACAAACTCTAGTTAGACATTTTAAAATGTTCAGACATCAATGACTGCAGCTTCTCCCTCAGTGGTCTATCTGTTTCCCTGCCCTCGTTCCTGGGTCACCTGGCTGTTTCAGATGCCCTCATGACATCTGAGAGGGCTCTGTGTACTTGGGCGGTCCTGAGAACAGAACCTTCCTCTCCAGGATGTGGGATAGATTAAGGAAAAGGAAAAGCACATGATAATTTCTGCCTCAGGCAATTTTACAAATGGAAAAGAAGAAAGCAAATGACTGCTGGCTGAGAGAAGGGACCCTAAGGTTCCTGGAATTTCCCCTTTCCTCAGAAGATGAAATCCTACTGGGTACCCTGTGGTTCATACCACCAAGGCTACATACCACCAGTGTGCTACAGCTTCAATTCATGCAGAAGAAATAGTTAAGATTTTTTTATATTTTATTATATTTTAAATGTGGAGCACCAAAGGACTCAAAGGGAGCAAAGTCCTCCCCACTGAAACTGCTAAAATGTTACACAGGTAGAACTGCAACACCTTAACCTACAGTGAATGCTATGCACAGAGCTCCCACTAAAATCTCCATACAGAGATACTCCCACAACACTATGAATAAATCTAAATGAACTTCTGCTTGACAAGATCCAACTTACAGACTGGAGAAGGATTACAGATGCCAGGGCCTAGGGATGGTGGAAGAAAGGAGCAGGTAACTAAGAAAAGACAGTGGAGGTAGGTGTTCTCTTCTGGATCTTTGTTGTGGTGTTACACACATTCACACTTGAAATAAAATGGCACACAGCTACATAAGCATGTTATAACAACGCTCTGCTCCTGGTCTTCATATTGTCATACAGTAGTTATAGTCCATGGTACTTCAGGGAGATTGTGTAAATGGTACAGGAACGTCTGTTAAGCATGACTTTGGCCTCTGGAAATTAGAACCCAGTGGAAAAAAATCAAAGCATGAGTGAAGAAAAACCAGAATTACTCAAAAGCCAGACAACAGAGCCCTGGACAGCAGACATGTTGGCTGTACCAGAGGCTGCAAGTCCTGCAAGCCTTAAAGACAGGTCTCTGGGGGCTAGATACCTTGAAAGGGCCTCTGGAGCAAATGACCTTGAAGTGGGCTCTGAAAGATGATATAATGGGTAGAGTAGACACCAAAAGCTAGAGAAAGAGATTCAAGCATAAGGGAATAATTTAAGTGAATGGGAAAAGAGTACAAATTGGTCAGTGAAGACTCTCAGGGTTTGGAAGAAAGGGTTGGGACCCTGGGCAGGAATGACTATTGAATAGGAGTGTGTGGAGGGTTAGGTTAGTGTGCAAGTGGATTAGGGAAGTGGACAAACAGGGTCATAATTTCTGCTTCAGGAAACTGCTCAAACAAAAATGAGAAAGGAAGTGACACTCGGCTGGCTCAGGAGTTTCTTTGTGGTCTCCCAACTTCTTTTTCTCAGATTAAACTCCACTGGGCCCATTCTAGTGGCCTCTGTCCAGTATGTGATGCTTACAGCACATCTCAATTTGGAGCAGCCACATTTCAAGTGTCCAATTGCTACATGTAGCTAGTGGCTAATGTATTGGATTGAGCTGGAACAATCCAAAATGGAACCCTGGTACTCAGAATGTGGTTCCTGGGCCAGTAGCATCCACATCTCCTATTAGAAGTAAGAATTCTCAGACTCCACTCCAGACCCAGTCCATCAGATTCTGCACTTTAGGAGGTTCCCCAAGATTCACAGCTCTGTCCCACCCATTTGGGGAGACACCTGTAGGGTCATGATGTTTTGGTACCTGGAATTAGCATTCCTCTTCCTCATTCAGGCTCTGAGCCATGATTTCTGTCAGCACCAGCTTCATATTTAGACCTGAAAGAATCAAGTACAGAAAAACCAGAATGGCTGAAGTACCAGACAACAGAGCCCTGGTCATCAGATGTGCTTGTTTGTACGTATCTCCTTGTAGCACCTCTTCTTTACACTATAATTGATTAAGTCACATCATGCTACCCAGAGTCAATGAAACACACTGAAGCTATAAATCGATCCCCGTGTAATTGAGTGAGAAAGGCTGGGGCCACTTTGGAGAAGATGGAAGACCCTACCTGTGTAGGGAGCCTGTAAATTGCAGCAAGTCAGACACATTATATGAGTTCCTGCTTCAAGCTTTGTTCTGGAATTTTCACATATGTGAGCCAGCAAATTCCATTTGTTTAAACTAGTTCGGGTTGTGTTCAAGATATTGTCTGCCTTCTTCACATCTCTTCCCCCTTGTTCTCCATCAGGCTCTGTGCCTCAAGATATTGGCCTTTGAGGGTTACATCAGCAGGCTCCCTTTGCCCTCTGGTTTGCCTTTGGGTTGGGCCATGGCTGGTGCCAGGAGGAGATCAGAAGAATAATGAAGTCAGGGTGTTTGTTTCTTGACTCTCCTCTCATGGGGTCACTGAGGGATGACTAATCCTCTAACCAAAGGCTATACTGCTTTCAGGTAGCCTTTTCCTACACCGACCCTACTGGTTCCTATAGTCCTCATCTGTGCTCCTTTAGAGTTCAGCGTGGTAATGGTTTCCTGAGGTGACCAGCCTGGGCTTACTATACTAGTCAGGCTTCCCTCACCCTGCCTGAGCCATGGCAAATAGTTCCTTTATTGAACTCATATTATCGATTTTGACTGTTTCAGACACAATAATTGGTATCAGGAGTGGCCTTAAAATGGGATTCCAGAATTGAGTTGCTCATGTATATTAGGAGGGTAGGGATAGCCTCCTTGCTAGGGGAAATGGCATCCTGGCAATCCATGGATTGCAGCATCATCACAAATAAGCAAAAGATCACTGGAAGTGCCTGGGATAAAGCACAGGTGGAGGGCAAGACAAGGGGAGAGTCAGCAAACACAACGCACCTGTTCTGACCTAGGCGTTACCTGGTGTACTGATCTGTCAAGTTAGACAGGCACTTCAGCCTGCCATTGTGCAATGGAAATGGTATACACTGAGTAGATCCAAAGGCACAGTGAACTCTTCTCACCCACAATCCCACTGCCAATACTCCATCTATGGCCTCAGAAGCTTTAGTCCAGTCAGTTAATGAGAAAAAGAAAGCACAGTCCTCTTTCAGAGAGGATTTATATAGTGTGTTGGGACCAGTCGAAGTGACCGCTGTGCACCCTATCCACTCTGGAATGGTCAAAGGCCAGTGGTGAAGGGATGCCGCCCAACGGAAAGCATTGCTGCAGATCTGCCTCAGGTCTAGATCTGACTTGACTCATGAGCAGTGGCTAATGGGTGGGCCACCTGGTCATGGGTTTGGAAAGAACAGACTTAAAGACTGGTGACAAGGGGCCCCAGGTAAAAGATGTATGGATGAACTCACAATGTGCAGTGTGGGACCATGTCCCATATAAATGCTCATTGATGAGCACCTCTTCATCATCAGGGGGGTAATGGTGAATGAACAACTTGGAATTTCAGTTGTCTTTGTCCTCAGATGCTCTGGTGCCTTCTTGATGGACCCATTTACAATGTGACCATGGTGCAAGAGAAGGAGCCTATGCACAGCAACATGGAACAGAGAATGTTTACCCTTGCCAAACTCATCTGGCACTGTGCCTTTTTCTTTGTGAAAGACATTTTAACTACAAAGTGAAATAATAGATATATTAGCTCATCTAGTTCTCCTTCCCCTTCTCCTCCTCCTGCTCCTCTCCTCTTCCTCTTGCTTTTCCACCTCCTGCTTCTCTTTCTTCTTGCGGTGCTGGCGATCAAACCTAGGACTTTGCACATGCTAGGCAAATGCTCTACTACTGAGTTCTATCTGTTTTTTTCCTGTTTCTTCTCCTACTCCTCCTTCTCTTTCTTTTCTTCTCCTTTTTTTGGGGGGATGGGGTGGTATGGGTTGAGACAGGGTCTTGCTACATAGCTGAGGCTTGTCTAGAACTTAACCGTGTAGCCCAGACTGGCCTTGAACTCATTGTCCACCTGCCTTCACATCATAAGCGCTGATATTATGAGTGAACATCATGTACTTTATAACTAATTTAACAAGTTCCTATTTTTTGTGGTGCTGCAGTTTGAACCCAGGGCCTTGTTTATGCTAAGCAGACACCCTAACCCTGATCTCTATCCCTTTATTTCTTCTTAAGTGAGTTTTGATAGTTCGTGTCTTGTGAGGAATTTATCCATATCATCTCACTTGTTAAATTTTTTAATATTTGTGAAACCTGGAGTGATGCCATCGCTCTCATTCCTGACATTGGTGATTTGTGTTCTCTCTCTTTTTCTTCCTGATTAATCTAGCTAGAAGTTTAACAATTTTGTAGATTTTATTTTTAGAAGAACCAGATTTTGGTTTCAATGGCTTTTCACTATTGTGTTTTGTTTACTATTTCATTGATTTCCTTTCTGGTTTTTATTATTTTCTTTTGCTTATTTTGAACCAAATTCTCTTGTTCATTCAAAGGTTGAGCTGAGCCCAGAAGTGACACCATTTCCAGGGGACCCCGCCAGTTTTCTGCTCCTGGTCCCCTTTCTACATGTTGTGGAAGTGATCTGTCTTTGCAGGAACACATACATATCCTGTGTACGGATTTGCCTACCCTGCCTGCAGCATTCACATTAGCACTACCATGTTGTAGAGCTTAGCCATTGCAGAATGCCTCTCCTTACCATGCTACCTCACGAGACTGCTTTATGTCCAAGTGTGACAGTGTCCGTACGCTCTTAGAATTCCTGGTCTTATCACATGCCTTATAATACAGTAAGAGCTGTTTTGTGGAACAGTGACTTGGCTTGTTTAAGCCTCAACTCATAAACTTTATCAG